TATATATATATGCAAGGATTCAGTATGAGATACAAAAGCTTACAGGTGAATCCAGACTAGATAACTAAAGAGTGAAGTTAGCTTGCATACACAGTTAAATATATACATATATAGAGTGCCTGCATTGATTTCCCGAGTGCTCGTCTTGCCACCTTTGGTTTTTGGGGTTGAAGTTCAGGGTTTACGATTTTGTCGCTTGTCATACGTGCACCCGCATCCGCATACCACGGAACAGTAACCCTCCACATGCTACACTGTTTACGTCTAGGAAAACCCTTAAACCCTAAAGTGCTCTGTTCTCACACATAATCACTCTGTATGGTCTGTAGCGCGACGGGTGGCAATACCCTGGACGGCGATATTGAGAATTGGATTCTCGTCAAATCACTTTCGGGTCATAATAGCGGTAGGTAGAGTGCGTGTGCGTGTGTGGCTTAAACACTCTGATCCAAGCGTACCCCAGTGTAGAGAGAGTGTGTGTCTCTAAACCCTAAAACACAAGTTAATCTTTTTCTGTCACTCTTATTTTCCCACTTCCTTATATTCTTCTTTCCTTATTCTCTTAATATTGCTCATTTTCCTCTTTTCTCATTTTCTTTCCTTCTTCTCTTCTCATTGTCTCATTTCCTTATCTTCTTGTCTCCCTATGACCTTCTCTTCTTATTTTCTCATTCTCTTACTTTCACACGCCAATGACCGCGTCTCCCAATTTCACAGACATCCGTGACGTGGCCTGGATGCCCAACGACAACAAGTGTTTGGCTTCCTGTTCCATCGACAGCACCATCATAGTTTGGAGGTACATGGACGGCGCATGGGCGGAGTGTGCGAAACTCAGCGCACACAGCGACTATGTCAAGGGCATTGCCTTCGACCCCATCCGCAAGTACCTTGTCTCTCAGTCTGATGATAATACAATAAGGTGTGCGTGTGGTATATATGAGAAGTGTATGTTGTATTGTGCTGATGATATTGTATATGTTGTGTACAGCCGATGGTGGCATAATGAGAAGTGTATATGTTATATCCAGCCGATACTATTACAATGAAGTATGTGTTGGTTTTTTAAACTGATGGTACTATCAAACTCACCGAGTACCTACAGGTTATAGCGAGTGAGTGGTAGGCATGACAAGGCATATGTCGCTAATCTCAGAGGGTGATGCTGTACTCTTTCCATTTGGCACGTCCTTTGATTGCTTTTTGGTGAACAAGATCATTGATACACACCCACACCTACAAAACTTACACACAGACACACACACACGCAGTATATATAT